TGAGTCCATGATCCCAAGTCACATCCTCACCTGCAAGGGATGCTGGGAAAAGGAGATCCTGGTTTCTGGGTGGAGGAGGCAGGACTAGTGAGAAGTTCTTCAGGCCCAGGAAAAGTGTGCAAAAGATGCTGGGTGACATCAGTAAGACAGATGTCCACACCTACCCAGGGAAGGGGACACTTGCAGAGGAGTTCGGTGTCACTGAAGCCGCTGGGTGATTCCAGCCCCTTCCCCCTCACTCCCGCCCATATTCACAGTGCTGCGGGCCTTGTCCCATGGCCTCATCTCTGCGGACATGCCCCTGCTTCCAACCCCGACAGACTGCTGGAGCCGCCTTCTTACCTGCTGCAGAACTCAACGGCTGCTACCAAACACCGACTCATTGCTCCTCACCTCCTGGTGTCCGAGTGCATGCCGACATTCCCTAACACTACACCCCTCTCACGGGCACTCCTCTTCCCCCGCCTGGTATCAGAGTGAAGTGTGGGCCCGGAGGTGGCGGTGGGGGGTGGGGGCAGTGATAAATACAGCTTCCCCACTAAGTGTCTGCTGCATGTTGGGACCTGATTTCTCTTCTCCATAGAGGCTCTTGGTGTTCAACCTGATAGCAAACTAAGAATTAAGCATTACAGCTACTTTGCAAATAAAGAGAATGAGACCCACCGAGGTCAGGTGTCTTGAGCAAGGCCACACGGCTGGGAAAAAGCAGAGGCGGAGGGAGAGCCCAGGGCTGCCTGACGCTGTCCCGTCTCCGGGCTCTCACAGAGAAGCCGTCTTCATGCTGTCCCCCTTGCCGCCTCTGACGGTGCACGAATATCTAACCTGCATCTCCACGCTGATTTTCAGAGTTATTTCATGCATTAGGAGACCATATGAAAGCCTTTGAGAGTTGATTTTTCAATCCATCTCTTTCCATACGTGACAGAGCAAAATACCACTTTTCTGTGTATCAGGAGAGCACAAAGCATGGGAGAGCTCCTGGAGCTCTGCATTCTGCTCAACTGTCAGATTTTAACAAATGCTCCTCTCAGCAATTGCTTAATTGTTACCCTTGTCAGGAAGAACCCTTCACAGACATCGAGAACTGCATATAAAAATATCCTTTAATCTCAGAGTTTGAAACATCATTCCTGTGGTTTCAGCAAGACAGAAGCCCAGGGGTACCTGATGGTGCTCAGGTTCCTGAGGATAAGCCAGGCGGGGAGCAAGGGTGCTAACGAAGAACAGAGGGCAGCAAGCGGCAGAACTGTCCTTGTCTAGATGAGGTCCCTTTCCCTGGAGGGTCCCGGAAATATCTTTAAATCTTTGCACAATGGAAGCAGAGAGTCAGTGAAACAAAGAAATGAGGGTTGGGATCAGAAAGGCCAGGGCTGGTAGTCTTCACAAAATATCGTAGAAGCTGCATAACCGCTGTGAGGCAGAAGCTGGTGACCTGCCACAGGTCAGTGTCTGACCACAGAGCTGTCGGCAGGATTGACTAAAACCACGGACTGTAAGCACCTGAAGCAGTGCCGAGCCCGTGGAGGGGGTTCAAAAATTACACAGTCAGTCCTTACTCACGGACTCCACGGTTTGCTAGTCGCCCACTCGCTGCACTGTACATGTAACCCCGAAGTCACTACTCAAAGGCCCTGTTGTGGCCATTCCAAGACACGGACAAAGTGGGGAGAAGCTTGGGTGGCCCGGCGCAGATGCTCCCAGCCAAGGTCCCACACAGGGACACTCTGCCTCCTGGTTTCGGCTCCCATGCTGCGTGGGCGCTAGTGCCCTTGACTCCTTCTGTTTAGCGCCATGCTTTTCAACACGTTGTGCCATTGTTGGTGATTGTGCTGTCTCCAAGTGCAACATTCAAGTTCAGGCTGGTGTTCTTGAAGGCTGTGATGTGCCTGACGGAGAAGATGTGCGTATTAGATAAGTTCCATTCCGTCTCGAGGTATAGTACTATTGGCGTGGGTTCAGTGTTAATGTGTCAGTAATATATACACATAAGGTGTCTTTAAGCAAAAACACACGTAAAACAAGAGTATGTGTTAACGGGGTGACAACAATCTCATAACTAAATGTTCATGGGAACCTAACGCTGTACATCTCCTAGGAGCAATGGTTCAGGGTCTCCTAATAACTCAGCGTTCGTGGCCACTTTATAAAACATAGCTACCTCAAATGAGGACATTGGCTGTATTCTGTTTAGTTCCTGTGTCAGGTAGGTTAAAAGGGATTGAATGTAACAAATTACCTCCAAACTGTTTGTGGCTTAACACAGTAGAACTTTATTTTTCAGGTATTTAACATCCAATCAGATGTTTGGTAGATGGCCTTAAAAAAGTGAGTCCGGAGCCCAGACTCTCACATCTTCTGGCTCCGCCCACTCCTAGGACCTGGGCGCCCAGGCAGTGGATGGGGGAGGAGACAGAAGTGTGTTGTGGGTAGGTCTTTATGGGCCAGCCTACAGGTGGAAGACATCACTTCTGCCTTCTTTCCATTGGCCAGAGCTCAGTCACATGATCCCAACTAACTGCAGAGGCAGCTGGGGAATATTACCTCCCTGTGTGCTGAGGGGTTACATGAATACCCCTGCCACAGTTCTCCATAAGGTTACTTCCTATGGTCATGTTCTAAAACCCTCACCCACGGATATGTTTATTAATTTTAGATAGAGAGGAAGGGCGAGAGAGAGAAACATCCATCGGTTGCCTCCTGTATGTGCCCCGACCGGGGATCGAACCCACAATCTAGCCACGTGTCCTGACAAAGGATTGAACCCTTAACCTTTCGGTGTACAGGACAATGCTCCAAACAATTGATCCACCCAACCAGGACTTTATGATCATTTTTCCCTTGATAAATGGTGAAACCCTTAAGTTAGAAACATTTAAGTTTTTCAAGCTACTCTTTTAATCCTTTTCCAGTTCCTCACCAAGAAAAGCAGGTCTGTCTCCTCTCATCTGTCTTGGCTAACAGATGAAATCCTCATGTAATGAGACCTCCATGCATATTTTCTCTCATTCTATTAACACTTCAGCCAACCCTTTAATCCTTACTATACATTGCGGACTGTAATTATTTTTGCTACTGAACTAAGGATCAACCAGCACCTGCTATGAAATAAAGTACTAAAATATAATTAACTGATTGTTTATATTTGTTCCAACTAAATTGTGGGCTCACCTCCAACTTGCTTTGGCCTTCAGCCAATGAAATGCCAGCTTTGTCCACCCTGTTATTGAGTGTATTAGATCTTGTAACCACTGACGTGACCAGGGAGAAGTATCTACTGTACTACCTTCTGCATCTCTGCCCAGTTGTTCTGTAGTTTTATACTGTGGACTCTGATGAGCATTATTATTTTCTCAGTCTTTCTGTTCTCGTTTTACCAGCAAGGGAAGGAGCAATGATGCAGTAATTATGAGGCTTTGGTAATTTTTGAGGGTTACTTCCTAAGAAAAGCATGCTCTCTTACAATGATCAGTTCATGTACCTCTATGGGACTCTTGCGAAAACGATCAAGGACTCTTTCCACCAAAAGTTGAACTCTTTTTTAAAGATTTTATTTATTTATTTTTAGAGAGGGAAGGGAGGGAGAGAGAGAGAGAGAGAGAGAGAAACATCAGTGTGTGGTTGCTGGAGGTCATGGCCTGCAACCCAGGCATGTACCCTGACTGGGAATCGAACCTGCGACACTTTGGTTCTCAGCCCGTGCTCAATCCACTGAGCTACGCCAGCCAGGGCTTCAAAAGTTGAACTTATACATATATTTTATACCATTTATAATTTTTGTACAATTGTAGGGGATTCTTAACTCTGCTGAAAACAAAGAAGTACTGATCTTAGATGATTGCTGTGGAAACTAATGAAATTAGCCTGTCACATAGCAGCCAGTGAGAACTAGAGTGCATTAAATAAGCCAAATAGTAGACTCTGTCTGGAATGAAGTGCCATGTTACATCATTGCTTCTTGCTTCTAGCAGATGTGAACATTCACATGGAATAATACATGTTAATTATTAGAGGATTTTAAAGTTGAAGAAGCAGGCACAGGCCTTGTTCTGACCTAACAGTCACTATCGAGATGGCAGAAACACAAACTCACCCCTGCCTAGGTCGGGTGTCTATTTCTGCTTCTGCCTAAACTGTGATTTTAGATTCTCACATGGTTTTCCTCCTCCTTGTAAACTGTGGGGTTTGCCCCCAGTGTGGGTTTTAAGCCTTTGCAGTGTGCCTTGGTGTGGATTCTAAGACACACACACATGCACACACATGCATGCACATGTACACACACACACACCATGCAGACACATGCCATATTTATTTGGAACTCAGGTGTCTACAGTATTAACTGTTCAAAACAGACCCGTCTGGGCAGCATGGTGCCCAGGAGCAAACCAGATAGGAAGCTTTTGCAGAGAAGGGTCATGCCCCCACCCCAATGATTGCGTCGAAGCCACAGAGAGACAGCAAGAAAAATAAGAGCTGAAGGTAGGAAGCAGGAAAATGACCAAGGACCTTTGTCAGCCTTGCTCGGGGCTGGCGTCTCGAGTCACGTGGAGCCTGCGGCACGCAGAAAAGGTTCACTTCCGTTCCGTTTGCTCTGCTTGGGAAAAGCAGAGTATGGACCGAATATGTTTTAAATTGCAACAGAAATGATAAAACTAAGAGTGTAATGCTAAGGAGGTAGAAATCAGCTATTTGGAAAAATCATGGAATGAGGTGTTGCTATTTATGTTTCTATTAATTTTGATACATAAATAGCCACATTTTATCAGTTTCGCCACCCAGTTCTCTCCAAACTCTGGCTGCTCTTTCAGTCTCCAGCCCTTGGCACCATGTCTGCCTCACAGTGGACACTCGGTATTTATTGAGTGAATGAATGAAACAATGAATGAATGAAGGAAGGAATGGACAAATGAATGAAACTATAATGTCCATATGTCTGCATGACATGTGTTACCTGTGCGTGAATAAAGGCATCCGCATTTAAAACCTTCTCTTCTCCTTTTCAGAGCCGACACCATTCTCTGGGGACCATTCTCAAGCAAGAGACACCATCGCTGTGACACATGCCGGTGCCACCGCCGCCACCACCTCCTCCTCTGCCTCCACCTCCCCCACCTCTGGGGGCTCCTCCCCCTCCCCCACCATCAGCACCCCCGGTAAGACCTGTTTTCCTATCTCCTTTACTGCCCAGCAGAAGCTACTTTGAATACACTTGAGCAGGAGGTTTTAAATGTTCAGCAGCAGCCACCACCTAGCTCCCCTGTGACTGGTGGCATCTCAGGCTGCTGGCTGCAGCAGCTGCAGGGTCTGGTTCCGGGAGAGGCCGGCCAGTTATCTCTCTCCCTCGTCCTCGGCGGCTCCCACCCTCAACTTCAGTGTCGTCTGTCTACAGACGGCTACATAATTCCTCTTCTAATTGCTGCTGCTGGAGACAGGCTTCCTGAGTCTCCCTAATCAACCCTTCCATCTCCCTGGGAACCTCCGGGGAGAGGCCCAGCCGAAGTGCACAGCCAATGAGGCGTGCGGCAAAGTCAAGTTCCAGTGTGTAATTGGATGGCGATAACGATAGCTTGGGCTTCAGTTGCCCGGTGCTGGGCCCCAGTCAGAGAAGTGTCACACGAAACGCCACAATGAAATATAAATCTCTAAATGAAATGTCTCTATCTGCAGCAGATTGAATTCAGTCCATTTCAGTTCGTGTTGCCGGATACTCCCTCTCTCGGATTAATGGCTGGGTTTGCACTTAGAAGGAGAGGCACGGAGGGTGGTGGTTTGCTTTCCAAACAGAAATTCTCAACCTTGGCACCGCTGACGTGGGGGGCCGGATCATTTTTGTTGTGTGAGGCTATTGTGTGCATTGCAGGATGTTGCGCGTCAGATAGAGAGGTCTCCTGTTTTCAGTGGGAGATGAGAGATTCGGCTGCCTTGGCAACGGGGTGCGCAGAGGCAGGGCTGATAGGGGTGAGGGGAGCCAAGTCAGCCGGGCCCAGGAATCGAACCTCACCTGCCATCCTTCCCGGCCATGCACGCCTCTCCTCGGGTGTGCGGGTGACGCCACCCCGGGGAGGACTGGTTATGGAGGGAGGGCCTGAGGCCCCGGCGCAGGGCCACGGGCCACGGTGAGAGTGCGAGTGTGCGTGGGCTGTCACCCCTGTGGCATCACCTTTGCATGCAGATGGTATCTGAAGCGCCACGGACCTAGACCCTCCTGAAACTTGGTCCTGGCCCTTGAAGGGGGCGGAATGAAAGCACATAAGGTGAATTCCATCTGAAAGCTCTCTGACCAGCGCACAGAGAGAGTAGGAGTAAGTATTGAAGTTCCGCTGCTGAGCTTGACCCCAGGAGGGATAAAGGAGGTGGACTGTTGTTTATAAATAAACATACGTGATAGTGTCACATGGGTCTTACATGGACTTGCTAGCACCAAGCAGTGCAACTTGCAGTTGCTTCCAACACCACGATACACCCATGCACTGAGCCAGAATAAGTAAACTGATCAAAACCCGTATCATTGGGGACTTGGGGAAATAAGCACTTTTTAAAACATGGCTGGCGACACAGAAATACCTGGGCCTCAATGCTGAATGGGTCTTTCCGGAGTGTTCTCCGGCAGAAAACAACGGACCCAAGCGTATCATACTTTTTCCCCTGGTAATCCAGTAATTTCAGTTTTGAGACCGACTTCGTAATTAACTCTAAAGGAACCAAAAGGAAGTTTTCCAAGGATGTGCACAGCAATGCCACTCACCGTATTTTGCCGTGTATAGTGCGCACTTTATTGCCCAAATTTTTGAGGTAAAAATAAGGATGCACGTGATACCTGGGCATAATGGTTGCACACCATGGGTGTAATAATGAGTGTAATAATCCCTGTATAATGCACACAAAAATGTGGGTGTGCATTATACAGGGAGCACTTTATACCCAGCAAAACACAGCATTCTAGTGAAAGAATTAGATCCTAAGTGGTTTATGACCACAAAGTTACATGTGTTATGTCATGTTGTTAATTAAAAAGTGCATTATGCCATAGTGGTAATTAAAAATTACATTTGTAATTGTGCTGACTATGAACAGTAGACATGGAATGATGGATTTAAAACACAGTGAAATTGGCTATATAATATATGTAATAAATAGGAAAAATCAGAAAAGAATTTTTAGTTCTGATAAAATTTTTTGTTTCATTAGAGAATTCTTTTTTTTGAAAGGTGTTTAAGTAAATATAAATAATTATACATTTGATTATTTTTAGCATTCCCTCCCCATTCCTTTTTTTTTTTTTTTGCCATCTTTCTCATGGAGGAACAGATCTATTTAGGATAAAAATAGCCATGTAAATTTTAATATTTAAAAAAATATCTTTTTCTACAACCTTGGAAAAATATTTACAGTGCATATTTAAGGCAGAGAATTAGCACCCTTACTGCATAAAGAGCTCTTACAGATTAATGCAGAAAGGATGAATAGAAAATCAGGCACAGGATGTGAAGAGGTGGAAGAAATACAAATGTTTCCACCTCACCACAATTGAATGTACATGAGTTAAAATAATGAGAAATCATTTTCCTCTATTAGTTTGGTGATAGTACTTTTTAAATGTTGGCTGGAGTACCAGGAACCAAGCACCCTTAATGGGAGCAAAAATTGGTCTAATTCCCTCAAACACCATTTGTTAACTTAGATCAAATCCCTTTAAAAAATGGGTGTGCTCCATGACCCAGTTTCACTTAAGTAATTTTCCTTAAGTAACTAATTATAAATGCATGTAAATAGTTAGCTATAAGATATTAATAAGAGCATTATTTTGTAAGAGCAAACAAAAAAGAAACGAAAATCTAAATTTTTAATACCAGACAATTCAATAAATAAATGATTATGTAATCTACAAATGGTATACTGGGCAAACATTAAAAATCATATCAAAATCATTTTGTAACTTCCAGTATAATGATTAACTCAAGCAAGGGTCATCTATAAAAGCTAGAACCACTTAATGAAAAGTTTTAGGGGAATAGTATATTCACAGAATTCCAAGTATCACCCACAATTACTTCTAATTACAAAGGGAAAATGTGGCTTTAAAATAGATCAAGCTGCCCTCATCCATGTGGATCTGTTAGTTGGAGTGTCGTCCTATGAACCAAAAGGTTATGGGTTCGATTCCTGGTCAGGGCACATGCCTAGGTTGTGGGTCCAGTTCCATTTGGAGAGAGTTTGGGAGGCAATCTATCGATGTTTCTCTCTTGCATTGATGTTTCTCTCTCTCTCTCCCCCGACCCCTCTCTCTAAAAACAATAGGAAAAAAAGGTCCTTGGGTGAGAATTAATAATAACAATAATAATACTATAAAATGGATCAAACCTATCTCTAATAGAATGACCTTATATCATAAGCCTTTTGCTGGGAGGCAACAAGAAATCCCTAGCGTCACCCTGGAGTGATCTGCCCCAAATGAACGGACTCGTAAGCCAACAGCTGGACACGCCCCAAACGCGGGCCCTTCTCCATCGGAGACGGGCAGCCCGAATGGAGCCCGTGGTGCAGTTTCTGTGCCCCCTGCAGACTCAGAATGGTTTTCACATTGTCCAACGGTTGAAAGAAAACAAAGAAAAAATAATGTTTCATGACATATGAAGTTGTATGAAATTCAAATTTCAGTTCATCAATAAAGTTTTAGTAGACTTCAGCCATGCTCATTCATTTGCATATTATCTGTGGCCACTTTTATGGTAATGGCAGAACACCGATTAAACACCTTATTATCCCCCCCCCCAAAAATTCTATTCTTGTCACTAGTCAACCTGCATTTTTTAAATTATACTTTAGTAGTAGTAGTAGCAGCAGTATATTTTGAATTTTGTCATGCAACTTTTATGAAAATTTGGGGTTTGGGTGTTGTTTTATACTACTTACATAAAATCCATGATTTTGCCTCTTGGCCCACAATGCCTAAAATATTTGGCCCTTTACAGAAAAAGTTTGCCAACACCTGTCCTGGAAGACAGGTGGCTTCCTTCCGTCGTCCTCCGGTCACCAGCAGCCGTGATCTTGCATCAGATCGCGTCCCTCCCCCGCCTCACTGTTCGAGGACTTCCCATCCCCTCTTAACGGCAGCCCACTCTGCCCCTGCCATCTGGCCCCGCCTACTTCTCAGACCTCTCCCTGGGCCTCTCTCCTCGTGTCTCCGCTTTAAGGCTCTAGTGGAACTGGTTTGTTTGTCTCTTACTGCTCAGCTCAGACGTCACTTCCTTGGGGCATCACTTTCTCACACCCTACAGTATAACATACATTTAAACCCCCCCTTCATAGCACCTATCAGTTTTTAATTTTGCTTTTGTTTGACTGGGGTCCATATTTTATGGTTTGTGGTCTTTTCTGTCCGTTGTGTGGGGCTCACAGCAAGCACTCCCCTCATTGGATGAATGAATGAATGAATGCACACATGCATCAATGAATAGCTGTGTGAATAGGACTCAGAAGTAGAGTTAAACCTCTTCATAACTAGTGTTTAGGACTTTAAACATCGATGCTCATGGCCAGCAGGGAAGATTTTATGTAATCATTGCAAGGACAGGGCATTTTGTGTGATACGTCTGATCAGGCTTCGCCTTAGCTCTGGAAGATCTGCGGCTTAGACCAGGGCTAGAAGTTCTTTTGTTTCCTCCTCCTCCTACCTCCTACTCTCCCCTGCCTGCCCCTCCCATCCTGGTCTCCTTCGCTTCTCTAAAGAGCATCTTTTCTCTTTCCACGAACGTGGGAGTCAGCGAGCAGCAAGGCCAGGGGAGCCTGCTGATTTCTGGAGCAGGCCTGAAGCCAGGCAGTCCTCCCCAGCTTGTCTCACTGTTTTTCTGGCCCCTAGCTCCCCCGTCTTTTGGGCTCTACTCTGTTTCTCAAGCACTGAAAATCCAATAGCAATACAAAAGTTGCCTGTGTGGTGCATTGGTCCACTCATAATTAAATTATTACTGCTGCTTTGGAGACAGGATGTAACTCTCTTCAAAACCTAAAAAGGAATACAATGGGTTTGATTTTTGAAATGCAGCAGAATTTTACGGAACTTTTGTTTTGAAATCTGCTTTGACCTCTAGGTCGTGTCCAAGATGAGAGAATAAACTCTTTGACAGCCTGTGATTTGTTTTCTCGTCACAGTCAC